CTTTGTCCATTGCTTATTTTTTTTTATTGCATGCTTCTTTGGAACTCTCATTTCAGATTGTTCAGTTGTATTATTGAACGGTTTACTATTTGTTACCTAGACTCAATGGAAAAACGTGCCTGTGGCAACATTTCTGCAAAATTATATTACATTACGGCTTGCATGGTTCGTGACACTTCCAAAGTGAAATGTCCAAAAACAGATGAACCTGAATGAAGTAATATTTTGTTCCATTGGTTATTATACGTATCATGGCAGTTCAGAAATGAAATATCCGGCGAGTGATGTTAAACTGTAAGTGCTCTCTTTATCGCCTTTGAAAATAATGTAACGCCAACACATAATAGTGTTGACAAAAGCACATGTGAGATAAAAACACATTTGGCAACTATGCCATTTTAGCTTGCTTTTACAAGTCTTTGATCTTTTTATCGTTTTACAGGACTTCACATCACAAGTGCATTGCTGTACCAGGTCAGCTACCGAGCAAGTTTACTATGTCAGAAAAGTCATACATATGAAGCTGGTCATAACATAGTATTGTTATACTGTTTAACAAACAGTTAACAAACTAAATTACCTGATCAGAGAGAATGTTAGAGGCATAATATAGCTAACCAAATATTGTAATCTGACTAGTCCAGAAAAGAATAACTCTTATTAAACTTTTAAATTATATTCAACTCAAATCAATATTTTATTCAATTCATATTTTAATTTGCTAAGTAGTTGTCTAGGTGGCATAATATACATTCAGACAGTCATGATCACAACATAAACCTGATGAGGTGATTAGGACCTCAACGCAAAGCAAGGGTGGGGTCTTGAATTACTCTGGGTTTATTTTGTGATAATGACTGGCTGACTACATCACTTTAAATTCTGAGTAGCTTGTAGCACTATACAGGATAGATTTTTAAAGTAGCTTCCCTGGCATAACTCTGTGAAGGATATTTAACAGGACATTTGCAGGTAGAGAAAAAGTTCAATGCAGCATCAATAGACTATTTAACAAAAGAGTGCTTATTGAACGTGTTACATCAGATCTTGACACTATAGTGGTGTACTCATTTCTGAGGAGATCAGTTACATTGCACTTTACAGTTGGGTAACAATGGCTTACTGAATGGATTTAACCAGTGGCTTAGTGAATATGTTTCGGACACAGGAGAATAAGCATACATATACATGACAGCTCAGTCTTAATGATGTATTCCCTTTTTCTCTCTTGTCTTTGTCTAGCCATCCCTGCTTCATTCCATCCTACTCAGCCTCAAGCTTTTTTCTTTTCTTTTGAGCATGGACTTTTAAGAATCTGAGAATTGCATTATCTATATTTCATCATAAGGATGTCTCATTTACATTCTTTTAATGATCTGCCCTCACTTGGATCAATGAGACGTGTTTTGTGTTATTATTGGATTATGAACATAGCTGCATGTTGCTAATGCTGTTCATTAGGTGGCATGTTGAGCTCATTTATCTTCACTGGGATTTCTACTGCTTGTCATTCAATAGAATGAGGAAATATATGCCTACTCTCAGAATGAATTACCTTTTACACATCACTGTGGATTGCGCATTGCTTACTCTTTCCAAAACATGCCCCATTTATTTGGATGATGCTGATGCTGATGCTGTTGTAGCTGTGGTTGTTTTATCAAGAGACTTGTTGCTTAAAGAGAATGTTCTAGTGTTTCTTGAATCCATTCAGCTAAATCCTCTGTGTAAAAGAGCCTAATTTCCATTAGGTTGTCCTCCACCAAATGGTGGAAAGGCCTAATTAATAAGCTTGCAGCAATTTGAAAGTGCTACAAGAAAGTGGCCCTCTCAATTAAAAAAGAAGCACTTCAACAATCATGTTCTGTGCTTTTGCGGTTTGATTTGCTCATATAACAAAACCAAATGACACAACAAAATTCTATTTTCGAAATTTTAATACAATATAAGCAGATCTTGTGCAAGCTAATGAGAAATTCTACAATTATGGCCTTTGGACTGACGCAATTATACATTGAGCAATGCAGCACGACTGGTCTAGAGATATGCAAACAACATAAATATACCTTCAGTTCTGCCAAGTATTATCAACCAGCAAAGATAACAGGACTCAGACTCTTTTGATCAATAATAAATAATAAAGAAAAAAAAAAGTCAAAATAACTGTGCAGATCACTCCACAAAAATGTATAAGCTTTGCATCAAAAAATTTACAAATCCAGAAATTAGACTGAATATTCTGCTAACTAGCAGGTACCATGATTTCAAATACAGCATCAATTCAGAACTCTTTCAATACAGAATATGCAGTCCTTATGGGTTTTATGGTGAGTGCATAGAGCAGTTCAGTTTGTAGTCCAAAAGTATGTATTTTTTGTGTTTTTAAAGGGATAGTTCACCCAAAAATAGAAATTCTGTCATAATTTACTCACCCTGATGTTGTTCCAAACCTGTATGAGTCTCTTTCTTCTCTTGAACACAAAACAAGATATGTTTTTAAACAAACAGTTGACTTCTATAAAATATGGGGGGAATGTATACTCTCAACTGTTTGGTAACCAACATTCTTCAAAATATGTGTTCATCAACATGAGGGTGAGTAAATGATAGCACAATTTTTCATTTTTGGGTAAACTGTCCTTTTAACGCATACTATTTTAAAACAGCAGTTCTCAATTCCGGTCTTGATGCATTTGTGTATGTCTCTTTGTTATTTACAAAGGTATATGTCATCATACTGTACCTAATACTGAATTTCCGCCTGTGTGTGATGATGTTGCAGGGTGGTCCAAATGAATGTATTGTGTCAAGTGAACATGCTCAGGGAATATGGAGCAGTGAACACTGCATTGGGACCCAGCTCAGTTCATGGAGCATGAAAATTGGAATTGAGGACCTCTGTTTTAAGATATATGACTACGGAAAATGTATGTTGTAGAACAGGGCTAGTCCGGTCCTGGAGGGCCAGTGATCTGCATAGTTTACTTCCAACCCTTATCCAACACACCTGTTCATCATGTTTAAATAGTCCTGAATACTTTGATTAGCTTGGTCAGGTGTGTTTAATTAGGGTTGGAACTAAACTCTGCAGGACCCTGGGTTGAACAGCCCTGTTGTAGAACAAAAAATGGATGTCTGTTCTGTTAACCATGGACCCACAAACTGATGCCTAAAGACCATGTATATAATTTGAACAATTATAAACAAAACAGATTATATTTTTGCAGATGTTTACTGTCTTGCAGTTTCTTATAAACACCTTTTTATATCTTTCTTAAAAATACAACACAAACACAATTTCACTAAAACCACTTATCATCAACAAAATTACAGCTCAGTACATTTGTCAGTATCATAACAATAAAACAATTGACCCAGTGAGCTAGTACAACTAGAAAATATCCAGAGGCAAGGCATCAAAAACACTTACTCTTGAGTTGTGAGTCATCTAGTAGGCCTTTGCTATTTTTGGTTAGACCAAAATCAGTCCAGTTAATTGACTCAAATGACATACTGCAATCAAAATTCACCAAGCACTTATGAGGAATGTTCAATTCACCTCTCAAATGGCGCAAAATCATATTTTGAGATTTTAAATGGAATTTAACAAAATGGAGCTGCAAACCACAATGAAATAATAAAATGTACATATCTACGGACATTCCTTACTTGATTGTAAAAGCACAGTGATTAAAAAAAAAAACTTGCTGTTTTGGTAGGAATATAAGATATAAAGCTGATCAAACTGCATTCATTACAGATCAAAATCAAGACATTCAGAAATGATTGTAGGGTCGAATAACTGCAATGTTACGTTCAACTAATACACATAAAGTCAGTATATATAATATTTATCTCAATATACAGTATATATATCCGGAACTCCAGAGAAAAACTTCTTGTGAATTTTGACCTTGCTTCTGGACACAATATTTTATGTAAAGGCAGAGCCAAGCCACTTTAATGTAATTTGATGTGACATTTAATGGATCATTATTCCAACACTCTTAAAGGGTAATTTATTGTGTTTCTTCAGTAGGGTTTACCTTCTGCTTTAAGTAAACCTTATTGGGAATAACCTGAAATGGTGGATTTCAGATGTCTGTCTGTACACCTCTTCACTGTAATTGAACAAAGAATGGCAACATTAGAAGTTTGTTCAGGGGCTACAGTAATGGAGTAAGTTGGAGAGGAGGCCACAGTTGATGCAGAGTTTGGTATCATGAGCTGGTCTTCAGCAATAATGGCAAATAATCCATCGATATTGATTTTTCCAGAATTGATTTTTCCACTAGGCTCAGGTTCAAACCACATACTCTCTGATCTGTATGTCATAACATACCACCTTTCTTCACTTTTCTCCAACCTGACAGCAGTCTGTTCTGGGGAAAGACATATTTTCCCATCATTCCCTTGGAGTTTCCATCAATAGGGTTTACGACATTTGAGCAGAGTTTTTACATCTATTTCCCATGTTTGTTTGAGTTTTTTCTATTTCCCCAAGGCTTGTCCGCTACCAGTCCAATATCTGAGAGATAGAGGAAATGAAATATATAAACAACTGCTGAAAATACTTTTCATTTTTGAGCCAGTTTCCTCCAAATGGAACCCATCTTCACTATTTGCTTTTGTAGCCTATCTCGGATTTCATTTTTGATTGTAACTGCAGCTATTTTCACTCACAGGGAATTCAATCATCCATTGTTTGCAGACTTTCTGTGAATGGTCCTTCATTCAGATTTTTGGGTTATGTCCTCAAAACCAGTAAGATTTCAGACCCTGAAAATCCACCGGCACATGAAAGTCTGATAATTTACCCTGTTTTGGACATTGGGCTCAGAAGAGGCTCATCACTGTGTTAGCATTTCTTCCGAAAGAAATACTGGGGCCAATCCACAATACAAAGTAAAAAAAAAAAAAAAATGGTGCAGGAGAGGAGCTGCGAAAGAAATACTGGGGCCAATCCACAATACAAAGTAAAAAAAAAAAAAAATGGTGCAGGAGAGGAGCTGCTTAACTCAGTTTCTCTGGTTATCTTCTGAATATGCAAAACTTGAGACAGTATTGAGTACGGTGGAGCTGAATGCTTTCCAAAATATAGGAAGTGGCTCTTCCATTCTTTTACTAGAATTCAGTAGTGGAGATTTGAGTGACCTCAGATTGCAGGTCCTGCTGAACTCTTCTGGACTGGGACCCCCGTGGGATCCTCTCCAGGCCTAGTCATACTGGCTTCTTTCCTGTCTCCGAAGGTGCACAAACTGACACTGGCTCCCTTGTGGCATTCCTCGCTCGGTTAAGGCTATTCTGGTCAGCTCTGGTTCGGAAGGGTGGGCAGAAGTCTCGGAAGCATCTCTTGAAATTCTCATCCAGGAAAGCGTAGAGGACAGGATTGAGGCTGCTGTTGGTATAGCCGAGTGCGATACACAGGTGCCAGCTGGCAATCACAAAGGGGTTCTTCTGGTTGACGTCTACAAGTGTTTTGACAATGATGAAGATGTGGATAGGTGTCCAGCAGATAATGAAGGCAGCCACCACTACCAAGACCATTCGAGTGATTCTACGCATGCTTCTGTCCTTCTCCTTAGAGCCTGAGAGAAGACGGACACTTCTCAAACGTAGGATCATCAGACCATAGCAGATCGTGATGACTAGAACTGGTACCACAAATGCAAAGATAAATACACAAATCTTTGTCACTGTGTCCCAGTACCAGTCTGGATCAGGGAACTTCAGCATGCATACAGTTGCACCTGTTATGGAATAAATTTAAACAGTTCTAGAATCAGAATCAGAATTCTAATTAGATTTTAAAGAAGGTTAACTTTTCATTGCTTGGTTTTATCAAGACACATCTTCCAACAAATACAACTTGCTTTCTAAAAATCTTGCTTTTAAATACGGACCCACCTTGGTTTGTCACTCTGGTAACTGCCATTATCATGACTGGCACTCCAACAGCAGAGGAAAGAATCCAGATGCACACATTGATGATTTTGGCGTTGATGGGGGTACGAAACTCCAGCGCTCTCACAGGGTGGCACACAGCAATGTAACGGTCCACACTCATCATAGTGAGGGTGAAGATACTGGTAAACATGTTATAGTAGTCGATAGCTATGACGATTTTACATAGAAGCTCACCAAAAGGCCAGGTGTTCATAAGATACTTGGTGCTCTGGAATGGAAGTGTACTAGTGGCCAGAGCATCTGCCAGTGCCAAATTGAAGATGTAGATATTGGTGGCAGTTTTCAGCTTTGTGTATCTGCAGACACAGAAACAACAGAGCAGTTTGTTAGGACACATGTATAGGTTGGCTAACGTGGTCTTATACTTTGCAGTTTATAAAATTGGCGTGGCACAGTGGCTAAGTGGGTAGAACTGTCGCCTCACAGCAAGAAAGTCTTTGGTTCGGGTACCAGCTGAGCTAGGAAAACTTTCTGTGAGGAGTTGCATGTTCTCCCTTTGTCTGTGACGAGAACATGCAAATCTGTCTCAAATCACCAGGTGCTCTGGTTTCCTCACAAACCCTGCCTGTGAGGATAGGCTGATAGGCCTGCAGAGAATAGATAGCAGCTAAACGTGGTAGTACTAATTTTCACCTCAAAAACATTTAGTAGTCGAAAGTTTGGTTAGTAGTTGGGTAAATTCAATGCCATCCAAGTGACCTGTCTCCAATTCATTCTTATTTTGCAAGACCTGCTTCCTTTGAAACACCAGACCCTTCTGTACACTGTCTATAAACTCGACATAACTGGAACCACACTTTTAGGTAGGTTTTCGGTTAGGTCCAACTTATTTTAGAGAAAAGGAGATCACATCAGCTAACCATGGGGTACCTCAAGGATCAGTGCATGGCTCTTTCTGTTCTCACTATTCAGAAACTCACTTGGCAGAATAATTCAGAACACTAATGCCATTCACATCTGGCAGGAACCAAAGGTTAATGAGCTGAATATTTTTTCAGCTGATTTTTGAGCTGGCATTTGATCAGTTTTCTTTATTTACTACCTCTTTTAATTCTTGTGACTCGATCCCTGGAAACATCAACCAGGCAAGTACACATAGTACACATGTTGCATGTCTTAGAGTCTCTACTAACAAACTAAAGAGTTCAATCTGGTCTGTTTGATTAGGAAGAGTTCAAAAAGTGTACTGTTGGTGTGCCTTCAAGAACAGGGTTGGAAAAAACTGGGATATTCTGTGTGGCCTGATAGACCAAGGACATGTGCTAACCAGCTCTTTGGAATACTGCAGCATCTGTTCTCTATCATTGTACTGGGTAAAATGCTCAGAACACTTTTTTTTCTGGTGCCAAACCAGTGTCCGAGAACCCTTATGGACTTTGATCCAATTGTTCTCAACTTGCACATCATGAAATTGTTACCCACAACTGAGGCATCTAACTCCCAATTGCTCCCTAGGCATGGTATCAAAAATGGTTGCCAACTGCAGTGAGTGTTCTCTACTCAATGCTGTGTGTGCACTTTGATGGGTTAAATGCAGAGGACTTTATTGTCGAGTTCATGCAAGTCTAGTCAAGTCTCGAGTCATTGAGTGAACAGCATTGGGTCAGCAGTCAGCAGACTATTCAACAAATTCACTCAATAACACTGATTAATTCAGTAATGAAACATCGGGAACCAAACAACAGGAACCAACTGTTGCTTCACTTCATTGAGAACAAGGATGACAAATATATTATTTTTGCACTGGCCAGTGCTGATGCCAATCATTTGAAATCACCTTAGTCATTGAAAGGATACTATGACAAAGATATTGCTTTCCTCGGTGAACACGGCAAAGAATGAAAGCTCTATCAGACCCAGGTAAACACGCATGCTCAGTGGATCTTTCCCATTCTCTATTTTACATAATACCCTATAACTGTAAATACTGTAGCGCAGCCCAAGCCATCATTGGTAATTATAAAGTGGCATTTTAGAATAAGTAAGGCTTGCACCTGTTTAAGTATCAATGTTTGTTTTTGGAAGCTGTGATGAAAAAATGTGGTTTCACACACAAGAGTTTTTTAAGACTCTCTTTGGTTTTTCCTTATTTATTTACTTATACGTACTTGTTCCATCATACAGTTGTATAAAAGCAGTATCAAACACACAGTTATGTGATTGCACTCCTGCTCATGTAGTACATATGTGAACAGTGTATTGTGCAGTTTATTGTATTGCATAGTGTCTATTGAACATTTTCTATCCACTCATCCATCAAATAACTTCAAAGCACATCACCTTGTGGTGATTTTATTATTATTATTATTATTTATTATTATTATTTTTTTTTTATTCCTCCAATCTTAACATTCATTTTAAATAAGTAAAAGGATCTGCTACAAGGGCAAATTTATGTAAATGTGTCCAAAAATGTATTTTATTAACAATCATTCAAACATGGTTATGGAGACATACTAAGACACCCCATCCCCCTTCCCCTTCCCCTTCCCCTTCCCTTCTCCTCCCCTTCCCTCCCCTATCTCTTCATTATCAACCATTTGGCTGTCATCTTGCTTGCATCATGTGCTTGTAAAGTGAAAAATTAGTTTACCCTGAGGCAACATCATGTAAGAAACACTTAATGTTATGCAGCAAGTGCAAACTGTTTATGTTCCAAATATTTATTCAAGGTAGCACAATAATTCAGTCTTAATAAATCTGATTAATTAGAATGCTTTGCTAAGAGAATAACAGTAAATATAAATTGTTCGTGCTTTTTGGACTAATGTCAAAGCTTTCAAAGCACTCTATCACCATTTCCGTATTGTGTATATATCAGATGGAATGAATATACAAAATAAGCAAAACCATGCAATGGAAAAGAAAGCACCAAATATGTAGGTATATTGTTTTTGAAATGCAATTTATAGTTTACAATTTACATATGACTCAAAACACAGCAAAGAAATCTTAAAATTTCAATCATTAAACTTAATCTAGGCCTGGTGCAGGTCAATGAGGCACAACATAACAGCTACAGTTATTAACACGAACACAGCTGGTATTATATAATAGTTACGCAAGTGCAGATCTCATATCCACAGGTTGTGGGTGGAGGTGTTTTTGTGAAAGGCTGGAGAGATGTGATTTCCCAAAGGAGAGGAGCGTTTTCACAGACTACACTTATTACAGCTCCATTTATTACTCCCAGTTGTATGTCCGGTTGGCATGAAGCTCAACCTCAAAACCACTGCAGATTAAGACCCCAGGAAAGTCGTTTAACCATACATGGTATTTGAGGATGTATTTGCAGGTTTTTTTTTTTTTTTTTTTTTTTTTTATTGGACAGACCACACAAGTATGGTATCAACATTGAATTAAATTCTTCCTTTTGCCCTAGAACAAAAGAACACTATAAAATGGAATTCAGAAAAAAAGAGAAAACACTCATTTAAAAAACATTTTAGTCATCCCCAAGGCAGACCATTTGATCTCCGTTTTTCCCAGGTAATTGGCAGTTATGTAAATGTCTATGAATCACATTTAGTCTGTAGAGAGAGCTCTAGAGAAAAACCATCTCATCTCATGCCTATTCCCAGAGCAATCGTCCAGAACAATTGGCAATGCAATATAGGCTCTTGCATTCTCCACTTTTTTATCTTCATCTGTAGCTATCAACACAAGCCAGCTCATTGCTCAGTGAAATCTAAAGCATTTGCAGTATTGAAGGTGTCTGGAAGGAGAAGAGCATGAGAAAAAGGCATGAGCTGGCTCTGGCTGATAAAGAAAAATATCACTTCATTTGCATTGATGGTGACGTTCAATGTATTGTATGTTTTTATTCCTAATGTTTGTAGAATAAGTTGCTAAAATGACAAAAAAAACTGTCTTTGGTGAATGTCAAAGTTCAGCTCAAATGCATGAAAAGCAAATGTAATGCCAGTGTCTGATATTTACATGTTCCAATAACATGCATTGTAGGAATATGTTGCAATTATATTTTCTACATTTCCTTGTAGTGACTTAGAATGTAATTCAACTATTTTAATATTTCTTATTTAAAAACTAAAATGCAGACAGTCCTTTAGCGATATGGATTCAAAGGTAACGAGCCACTTTTAGATTAATGGAGCTTAAATGTGAAAGATGTCAAACATATAGAAGATGATAATGATTAAACGGAGGAGATAGCTTGGTATACCTAAATAAAAAAAAGGTTAATTTAAGCCTGCTGGTTGTGCCATTGTTCTACAACAATGTTTTAGTTTAGAAATTCTTCAAATATCGTTTTATTATTTCCCACATTCATTAAGACTCTTTTATACTTGAAACATCACATCAGATATTATCTTGCATAAATAATGTTGTTGTTTTTTTATTATTGCAAAGGTATGCCGCAATATTTTCTAAAACATACACCTTTATCTTTTCAAAGTCAAAGCTGAACAGCATGTGCTCTATTGTGTTTTCTCTTGTTAACCGTCACTTTAAATCACTAACAACAGCTGAAATCGTCATTACTCTGTGCCAACCCAGCAGTCAAGTGTGTTAAGCCCCTGTCAAGAAAGCATTCATCTCTAGACGTCTCAAACATTCAGCTGAGATTCAGTTGAGCAGTTTCTCTAAACACCCGTGGGATGAAGAGATTTGGATGACCTGTGGTCTGAGGACACAGGCTGGGTGGATTCACAGAAAAACTGCAGAACTTTGTGTGATGCTTTAGCACAAAAAAACTGTGTTGTGATGTGCACTCACATTTAACGTTGTTCTGCGAATTTTCATGGGCAAAATCTAGTTATTTCAATGAGAACCCATGGAATGTTGCATGAGGATGAAAGACTCCCTTAAGTTTTGCCAACACTTTATTTTGATAGTCCACTTTAGACCTTCTACTAACTACAAGTAACTTTGCAACTACTAATTTGATTTGCCACGTTGAAACCTGCTTGGTTTGAAAGGGACTTCTGTGTGAGCTGTGTTTCGTACATCGTTATATTTCTGACAATGGACAGTGAACCTTCATTTGCTCTCCAAATTTGACCAGAATTTGGCTAATTTGATCGCACCTTTATTCACTAACCACCCACAATAACCAAATATAACTGACAGCCCTGGATATGTGTATCTGCACAAACACACTTTTCTTTACCTCTTTTCTATAAATTAGGATTTCTGTACATAGTATCTTATTCAAAACTCTAGTCTGACTGTATATAACTCTATAGCGCTATTTTCCTGGCACGATGTTGCGTTATTTCTGCCTGTGGAAAGCATGTGGTAAATGCAATGTTAGCTGAAAGAAGTGTGTGTACAT